TAAAACTAAAGTCACTCACTCACGTAAGAGGCGACTAACGGGATCAGGTGGTCAAGCTCCGTGACTTGGTTGACACATGTCACCGTATCAGAATAGCATAGATCGATGCTCATGCTGTTGATCACTGGATTGTTTGGTCCAGACTCGATTATTTACAGACCGCCGCAATATAGCCTGAGAGCAACAACAAACCAACCAACCAACCATTTAAGTAAACATAGCCATGCGTTTTTCAACTGTATATATTCTGTAAGTACGTTTGTTATTATTAACAACTAATCAATACATATACAGTTTCGACGGCATTTATGCACACATAAGGGTAGGGGAGGGGGTATATACAAATCAGCTATCATAAATTTGAATAAAACCTGCACACGGCGAATCCTTACGCGTGGATTAAGTGCGCTACACAATGACAGCGAGCAGCCGTAACCCTTGAACCCGGTAACTATGTACACGTTGCTAAGCACCGAGGTCAGCTGCACGAGAATTAACACGAGCACGGAGCTGTTTACGACAAAATTTGTAACGAAAGAGCATTGTCCTTCGACCACACGGCACAATGGCAGAGGAAGGTGGGTTTATAATCTAGAAATATGACATCGGAACGTCAAACATATTTACACCCAAGAACAGTGAATTTAATTATGCAAGGTATTTTATACAGGTAACGAACACAAAAATCGCTGCTGAGGGGCATGGAAACGCTACTGTTAGCTTGTGATATACGAGTGAAATACGTGTTGTTGACGTTGAAGTATTGAAGATATGATTTGTCGAGTTACCGGGCTAGGCTATATTATTCTACTCCACTGGGATCTCACTGTCAATTAGTTACTGGCAGCCCTAGGTGATAATCGATTGCACTCTCATATCGATCCGGGTTTCCTTGATACCTGCGTGGAAATCAGAAAGAGGGGTGACAATGGTGTGTGTGCATTTCGCGTGAGTTTGAAACGTTAACAGCTGTGTGCGAATAGATCGTATAAGTAATATCATACAAACATAATTTAGAATATGTAAAATACGTGATCAGATTCTCTACAATATCAAAGTATATATAGATATGCACTGACACTGAGATATAGCAAACAAACGTGGGCATTATTCAAAGGGATTTTCTGTGATTCACGAAGGGATTCACGCTCATTTCTGTGATTTGAATGTATTTCGACCTAACTGAATATTTACATACCTCTAACTCGTTAATCAAGTTATTGAATTATTCGCTATTTGTAGGTAGTTTGTCATGATCCAATAACTCCACTGAATAATTCTTTGGAAGAAATAGGCTATGAATATTCATGGTTTGTTTTGAACTTGAATACCCTCGAAAGGAGTATAGGCTACAGCCATATAACTATTTCTTTATTCACTTCATGAAAAAAATACTTATTTGTTTCTATTGTTGAAAAAGTCTGTTTTACACAGAACTGTCCAGTGTTATCTTCCCCGTCAAAGGTGTTCAGACGGAATGGATTGATGGTTTCTGTCTTTTCAGGGGCGGTGGGGTAGCCTGATGGTTAAAGCGTTGGCTCGTCACGCCGAAGACCCGGGTTCGATTCCCCACATGGGTACAATGTTTGAAGCTCATTTCTGGTGTGCCCCGCCGTGATATTGCAGGAATATTGCTAAAAGCGGCGTTAAACCAAACTCACTCAGTCAGTCAGTCACTCATATAAGGTGAAATCTGACCCGCGGTAATTCTGGGTAGGTATATGTGTGCCCAACAACCGGTTATTGTGAGAAACTACACGTGGTCAGACATGGTCATCGTATACCAATTGTCTTCACCGATGCCCGTTATATCAGTTATTAGATTGTCTGGTTTGATAGCTCTCGCGCTGAGGAACAAACAGTCTGAATGACTCTTCATTAGCAGCCTCATTAAAAATAGCCCCTATACTCGAAATCTAAATATGAGTGACAGGTTTGATTTATTGAGCATCAGTCCGTAAGTCCCAAAACATTCAATGTCAATTTATCTCAACCATGCTTTTTAGGCCGGTGGGGTAGCCTAGTGGTTAAAGCGTTCGTTCGTCACGCCGAAGACCGGGTTCGATTCCTTACATGGGTACAATGTGTGAAGCCCATTTCTGGTGTCCCCCGCCGTGATATATTGCTAGAATATTGCTAAAAGCGGCGTAAAACTAAACTCACTCACTCACCATGCTTTTTAATCGTAGAATATTTGTTATTTTAAATTATGGCTAAATTTTCCTACCATCGCCACCGGCTAAAGGGATGGTGTAAATCCAACAAGGGTTCGTGTAGGTAGCAAACGTACTGTAAGTCCCTATGGTCCCTGATATGGTGATCTACCTTCAGTTGTTGGCGATCTATAGCCTGTTTTTATATTGTATCGTCTTGTATAGTTAAAATGTTTTACATTTAATTACTAGTTTTAAAATTATATCTGTGATAAACTAGTTCTTTTACTGATTTTCGTTGACAGTTTTTTAATATAATTTACCTAAAATTATTGTAAATATATAACTTGATATAGTCACGATATGGCTGAAATACTGCCGATGTGACCTAAAAGTTTAACTCACTCACTCATTTAAGTTAATGAGCATGTAGACTGTTTCCTGTGTTGAGTACTTACAAACCAGTGACCATAATTAGGTTGACAGTGGGATTCGAACTGACATCCCCCAAATCCTGGAACCCATATTTTGTAAATCTTAGATGTGTCATCGTTCATGTGCCATCCGACTCGAGTTATCGAGTGAACATACTTTTACGCCGCTTTTAGCAATATTCCAGCAATATCACAACGGGACAGAGCGGAAATAAGCTCTACATATAGTAACCATGTGAGGTGTTAAATATTGAAATTATATGCATTTTATCACCAAACATACTATTTCATTATAAAGACGTGTTTCATACAGTTAACAAGTTAAATTTCAGATTCCTGTTGTCATGACAACCTGGTTGAATACGCCTGGTGCTTGTGACAATGTCACAAACAGTCGATAGGGATTCTGGGTTAGAATAGGACCCTACAGCCGATGCTTGTAAGAGGCGACTGAATGGATCGGGTGGTCAAGCCCGGTGTCTTGTTTGATTACGTATCATGGCAAGAGATGTTTCTCATAATATCAATCACTGGATGGTCTCATTCAGCATATGTTATTCACAGACCGGTAAAGTGCTGGGGCGTTAAACAACCACTAAAACTAAAAAAAAATATTCTCAAACACCTCAACCCATGACGGGGGCATCATCGGTTCAATTACCTAAATATTGCTAAAATCCGAATATTGAAGGTTCGAATCCTAGATTGACGCAGATTACGATCCTTGGTTTATACTTTACACTATCATAGTGGTAAGCGTCAATGTCCAGCATAACAGGGGTTTTCTTTAGTTAAAGTATTCTTTCCAGAGGCGGTCGTTCTGAAAAGACTGGCTGGTGTTCGGCATAAAGCGATAAAACAAGGACTTGTCTGTTTGGAGTCGGTGTCATGTGTCTGTGTGAGGTATCAATAACCTGGTGTTTCAGCGCCCAAGCACAATAAAACATGTCAGTCCAGACTAGTACAAGCAGCCTTACACACAAGCATGCACGTCGGTATATATATAAGTGCAATAATCTTGAACAATAATCTTGAACGTATTGCTAATCCCCCTTAAGTAGACCTTCTGGCGTCCCGGCTTACTGTTGCACTGTTTGACATATGAGCTATGATAAAACTAACGGATTAACTAGAAAGGAATCACAATTAATTGCATTTTTTTATATTTTTTAAATATTTTTATTCATTTCAGATAGGTATACAAAGACAGGGAGTACACAACTCCATGTTAGGGCTGGATACATATTGGCAACAAAGAGTTACAAATTTTCAAAGTAAGAAAATATAGTTACTAGTATACAAAGTCAGGGAGTGCACGACTCCAGCAGCAAACTTCATGGGTTACAGGCATGCTCGAGCTAGTTATACATCAGCAACAAAGATTTACTAATTTCGAAGTGTGAAAACATAGGTATACAAAGTCAGGGAGTGCATCACTCCAGCAACAAACTTCGTGGGTTACAGGCATGCTCGAGCTAGTTATACATCAGCAACAAAGATTTACCAATTTCGAAGTGTGGAAACATATAAATACTTTATTGTTCCGAGGAAGCTATCGAGCAATGCCCAAAGACTTGGGGACCTTTGATAACACGTGACCTACCTGATACGTCGCAATGAGTGTCCCTTCGTACAACCCAGTGCTGTTTTAACTGCCAGTCAGGACTAATGTGTCATACAAACCCGGACGCTAAAAATAGCACATTACTTTAAGCCTCGTTTGGGTTATGCAGCGACTGGGGTGGGGGATCGATGACTACCTTTAAAAGTGCATCATGTTATTTAGGAGCATCAGCTGAAAAATATATCTGTTTTCAATATTCCGGGTACATTATTTCTGTATACCCCTCGCCCATCCACCTCTGCGGAGTCTGTTACCAGGTGTCCTTCCCACCTGTAATCAAACATTCACTGTTACCTGACCCGAAACACGACCTTATCCACCCGACTGACAATGTCAAGAGATACCCAAACACAACAATAGATCTGTATGTGTGGAGCTGAGCACCTAACACCGTGATTTGCAAACACTTTATGTATCTTTGTCACTCGATCCGCGAAGCAGTGATTTATTTACCTTGCATTTTTACCTTGTAATAACCGATAACAAAAGCGCCGATTATATCCACTCAACCTTTAGAACGCTGCCCACGAGTCAATAGAGTTTGTGACTGAGAGGCCAATTAATCAACAACTGGCAGCAATAATGCTGATAATTGCACTTCTCTGCTTTTATGTGCGTGTTGAGATTATGGCAGAGGTAATAAAGTCTGGACGAGTCCATTGTGGCAGGTCAACCAGTAATTATTTGTGATTCCGCGTTGGACTTTCAATAAGCTCTTAAACAAAACGTGTGGCACTTCGGCTGAAGATCTGAAGAAGAAGGTGGCCGAGAGTATTTTCATATTCAGTAAGGATTTACTTATAAGCTTTCTCTCGGTATTGAAAGGACAAGCGTGTTGAGACTTTGGCATTTTTAACGATCACGTCTGTTTATAAGGCGCTGCTGTTTGGATCAGTGTTTTGTTGGGGTAGGGTGAACGTACACGGTCTTGGAGGTGATATTTGTGTTTGGATCGACGTACATTCGGATACGATGGAAGCGAGGACCAAACCCGGAAAGCGTTCAGTAAGATGTAAGGTATTTTCTTGATTTCTGTGTAAAACTGTAATCCTGATTTTTTTGTAATCCCTAACCAAGGACTACAGGTGACATGTGACCAGCGCTATAGGTGACGTACAGCTGGGCCTCAGGACTCCAGGTGACATAAAACCAGCGCTATAGGTGACGTAAAGCTGGACCTCAGGACTCAAGTGACATGAAACCAGCACTATAGGTGACGTAAAGCTGGACCTCAGGACTCCAGGTGACATGAGACCAGCACTATAGGTGACGTAAAGCTGGACCTCAGGACTCCAGGTGACATGAGACAAGCACTGTAGGTGACGTAAAGATGGACCTCAGGACTCCAGGTGACATGAGACCAGCACTATAGGTGACGTAAAGCTGGACCTCAGGACTCCAGGTGACATGAGACAAGCACTATAGGTGACGTAAAGCTGGACTTCAGGACTCGGGTGACATGAAACCAGCACTATAGGTGACGTAAAGCTGGACCTCAGGACTCCAGGTGACATGAGACCAGCACTATAGGTGACGTAAAGCTGGACCTCAGGACTCCAGGTGACATGAGACAAGCACTATAGGTGACGTAAAGCTGGACCTCAGGACTCCAGGTGACATGAGACAAGCACTATAGGTGACGTAAAGCTGGACCTTTAGGACTCCAGGTGACATGAGACAAGCACTATAGGTGACGTAAAGCTGGACCTCAGGACTCCAGGTGACATGAGACCAGCACTATAGGTGACGTAAAGCTGGACCTCAGGACTCCAGGTGACATGAGACAAGCACTATAGGTGACGTAAAGCTGGACCTTTAGGACTCCAGGTGACATGAGACAAGCACTATAGGTGACGTAGAACTGGACCTCAGGACTCCAGGTGACATGAAACCAGCACTATAGGTGACGTACAACTGGACCTCAGGACTCAAGGGACAAGTGACACATAGGTGACTTGAACCCCCTTGTACCGGAGTGAAAACAAAGACTTCATGTAATCTGCCTCATGTACTTCATTTCATACGAAGCCCAAAATTATACTTTTACGTAGTTACGCGCATGCAACCATGTTTTTGTGTCTACTTTCGTTTTTAACGTCGCACTCAGAAATATACCAGCTACTTTCAGATTTCTCTCAACTACCGATTCTGCACCAGAGAGTCCAGTCATTTACATGAGTGATGTCCTATCCCACCAGGTTACGATGACAAACGACCAGGCCACCGTGACTATCCGAGCGACTCAACCTATCGAACGGCAAACCTAGGCTACTTAGGCATATTCTAGCCGGAAATAACAAACGATTAAATCGCGAGACATTACAATGACCCATGGATTCATAAAATGGGCAATCAATACACAACAGGAGCATTGCAAGTCGCGGGGACTAGTGTAGTAATTGGACTTACCGATCTTTGTAAATGAGGTGTATAAAGATACCCTGTTTTGCTAGTAGCCTTGACACGCGAACTGTTAAGGCCATAATGCATTATTTGTTACATTATCAACTAGATATTTTTCACCGACTCACCAGAAACCTGTGATTATGGTTTCGAATCCCGATTCTGGTTTTAGGTTTCCTCAGCACAATACCCGTGTCAGATTGTTTCACAAAAGTGGTGAAAGTCTAAAACATTCCACGTTTTATCAAACACGTCATAATACAGCTGGAATACTGTTCAAAGCCACAATAAGCCAAATTCATTCACCCACATGTACTCGGATGGATAATGGGTCGCCTAACCGCAAATTGCTGTGTAGAGCTGCCTACACTGGGCATGAAAAGACACCTGTTGTTGTGCGTTCGAATCCTGTTTCCCGATCGTGAGCCTATGATAAACCCTAAGAATTCTTAACTTTGATCGTAGGCCAATGTGTTATGAGAATGGGCTTACGAAGTTCGTAGGCTACGGACGTTCGAGAATAGCTAGCCTGGTTCTTGACGATTAAGTTTCTACGTTTTTCAGCCCACAGTGCGTTTCACCGAAGTGGAAGTCTGAACTCTACATCACTTTTCCTGCCATATCAAATAGCTAGACTTTAATTTCTTTGAGAGGCATTTTAGAAGTTGTATAGATGAAGGAAAACCAAGTTCTATGGATCGTCAACTTCTTTATTGCAATGAGTGCGACGTTTCGGTGTAGGTATACTAACACCGTTATGAAGCAAGTGATCACTTGCTTGATAACGGTGTTAGTACCTACACCGAAACGTCGCAATAAAGAAGTTGACTATCCATAGAACTTGGTTTTCCTTCAACTGGACTTTAGTTGAAAGCATTGTTAAACTCACTACCATCACTTGCACTCTCACAAACTGAAACGTGTTAACTCAGAAACTTCCTCCCTATGTTGCAGTCAACACAGCCCCGCCCAAGAAGGACGTAGAAGTCCTCACCGACTCCAGTCTGGTGATGCTGGCCCGTAATATAGGACCGGAGAACCTCAACGGCGTCGTGCTGGCCATGATGCTCAACATCCCCACCACAACCATCGTCAACTGCATCTACGCCATCACCGACGACGGCATATCAGAAGAGAACGAGAAGCTTCGCATATCTGTTGCGGAGAAGTGTCTTCTGTTGTGGAAGGAACTGACGGCGGACGTGAAGACGAGGGACCGGGTGAAGTACATGGAGCGTGCACTACGTGAGATGGGAAAGAACGACATTGCGGATGTGTTTGTTGACAGACATTCCAACAACCAAGAAATCACACAAGATGCTTTCCTTTAGGAAACAGAAACGGCTGTAATGACTTTCGGGAACATCATCCTCGATTACCAAATGATTGGATTTAAGACGAACTCTCAAAAGTCTTAAGATTTGTTGTCATACCCATTAGCAAGATAAATTAGGCTCCAACTTGGTGATATGGTGGAGATTGGGATGTCCTTCCGAAACGAAGCTCCGGAAGTGAATGACATTCGCCACCAATCGCTTCTCTCCGCAACATTCGTAACTACTCGCCTCTTTCCGTGACCTACATGAAGACTCGTACCCCTATCGTACGCCATTATTGCCAAGAATCGTGGCAAACCAATCAAATTGCGCGTAGTAAAACGCATTTCGAAGCATGAAAATGGTGACACCGTTGAAGTTTGGAACTTCGGTAAACTATGCAAAGCACAATTTAAACATAAACTTTGAGTTAAAGGATCAGAAACTTTAAACACTGAAACATGTTTACAAAGGAAATGACTGTATTGCTGTTTTGCCCACGGGATATAGGATATTCTAGGAGCCATGTTTGGAAATTCAGAGTTATATCTCCATGTCCGTTTGCGCTTAGACAGGGCCCAGTCGTAAACATGGCCACTAGAGGGGTACGAGACGCCATCCGGCTTGCCGGAATGACACGAGTAGTTACGAATGCTCTCCGCAATTGAATTCAACGATTGGCCACGAATGGGTGCAAGGTATTTAACATAATAAAATTGATATATTTCACTCGAAAATCAGGGACGAGAGTGAGTCGAGGTATTCACAGGCCCTAGACTGATCTTGCTTTTCTTAAAAGACAATTGATTGTGATCATATGTGTAAATATCAAGTATATATTTATTACCTCCCTTTGTTGTTCCCAGACATGCTTCTACCAACAACCAGTGTTGTGTATTTAATCCTCTCTATTAAAGTCCGTGGACGTGTCACCTAGAGCCATGTAGTTCGATTACAAGGGATCACTAGTTGGCAGCAATGAATATATTGTGAACTGAATATAATGCAAACGTGTTGCGTTACTTCACGGCCTGCATTCAAAAGCATAACACGACATACATGATCTGTTGAACGCGCTTTAAACAAGTGATATATGACTGGCCATTAAGATACAAGGACGTAAAATTTATATTTCCTGCCAAAATTGTCATACCATTGTGATTGGATATTAATTATTCATAGATGTTCATTATTTACATTAATACATTTTTTAAGAGTCTCATATGAATTATCACATGTACATGTATGTGCCTTTGTAACAGTTGATATTAATATCAGTATCATGTATATTTTGTAAACAAAATAATTCTTCTTTGACGCGGTGATGGTTGGTTGGTGTTTAACGCCGCCCTCAGCAATATGGCGGCAGTCCCCTTTAAGGGGCGCAACTCATGACAGCACATTGGGCGCCTTTTTCCACAATATATATATACTTTTACTCACGTATTTATACAAACATAAGTGTGTGCATTTGCACGTACATGTGTGCAGATACGAGTGGAGTAGATGCTCTTGATGTCATGGAAAGTATGATTGTTAATAAATAGAATGAATTAGCTGCAATACAAATACTGTCACGTGACAGTGGAGATCAACCAATAAACGGCTATTGCCATGCCGTGATCTAGTGCCGTCTGTTAACATGTAAACATGAATCAGTCGGACAAAGTGGGAAAACGTCCTTCACATCAAATCTGAAAGTTTCTTTCGTCGTTTTCAAGCGACAGATATGTGAAATGTTTCCATGGCAACATCATTCCAGCAACCGTGTTCCCCTCCTTGGATTGGTCTAGAGAGCTTCTGCCCGGAGAGCGAAAACGATGGTACCTCTTGTTATCCTGTCTTGCTCTGGCCATTCGGGTTCAGTATAGGGTGTCAGAGTCGGGTACTCTTGTTTAACAGCCGCAGGGTATCCCCAATGACTGGCATCATAAACCGAGTATTAATCCGGTTGGTTGGGTTATTGTTTAACGTTGCACTCAGCAATATTCCAGCTATATGACGTCGGTCTGTAAATAATCGAGTCTGGACCAGACAATCCAGTGATCAACAGCATGAGCATCGATCTACGCAATTGGGATACGATGACATCCGACTTGGCGAGTCTGACCACCCGGTCGCGTTAATCGCTTTTAACGACGAGCATGGGTTGTTGAAGATCTATTCTAACCCGGATCTTCACGGGTCTGTTAATCCGGACAAGTACAACCCACACACGAGGGCAGGCATACCAACACAAATGCTCGTGCACACAGGTATTTCACCTCAACCTGCAGCAAACACGAGATCTTTGTGACATGCTCCAACAACACGACCTTTTGAACACAAGGAATAATTATAAATCACTTTCACTTTGAAAACAGGGGGCGCGGATCACATGTGAACAGAAACTAAATATTTTTACTCAATATACAAAAGTTATCGCGTGTATAAGTCTACACGTGAAGTCTGGTCCAAACAAGCCCGTCTGACATTGTGATCTGTCTCATGGTCAGTGACGTCAATCACAGGCCCTCGTGTCTTTGTGAGGATTAAAGATAAAAAAAATATTGTTTTTGAGATGACCCCCGACTCAAAAAGCTTTACGTTACAATACATCATGACAGGCCTTGTCATAATGTACTGGGAAGCATTTCGAGTCGGGGGTCATGTCAATTTTTTATATATTTTTTTAAAATCTTTAATCCTTGCAAAGACAGAGGGCCTGTGGCGTCAATCAGTATCTCCCTTCAGAACTTGGATCAGCGCAAAGACCGTTACAGTTTCTGGGGAATACGTTGGGCTGGCACTTTATGAAACAGTCATCAACTCCACAGCAACTGAATCCTGTACAGGATTATTAGACCAACTTTCAATGCGTCATTGACAAAATTTAGTGTTCACGCAAATGTGCACTCTGGCAGGTTATGTGCGTGGCAACTGTCGATCAGCCTGATGATCAAGGCTTATTCGTCTGCTCTTATTTAAGCCACACATAGATGTACATTAGTGTAAAACGGTCATTTGAGGATACGATACCATCACTGAAATGTTGCCAGTTGGTAACAGATAAATATTTCATGGCATCCGACCTGGACACCACTTCCCAGGGCTGGTGTCCTCTTGCCAGCACCTACAACACAGGCACTGTTTCACCCATGGATACCTCTCACACATTGTAAATAAAACACCAAGTCTCCATTGCACACTTTTAATCAGGATGATTGCACCCAGTACTGTATAAATACTCTACTCTATTTGTATAAGTACAAATGCAACAATACATGTTAATGATGCCCGCTCAGTGGATGTGAAATGGAAGCCCTCAGTATTCCAAACTCCCAACAAATGAACAATGCACACCAGACAGCTCCTAGAATATGACGTACTTAATGGGTGAGTGAGTGAGTTTAGTTTTACTCCGCACTCAGCAATATTCCAGCTATATGGCTGCGGTCTGTAAATAATCCAGTCTGGACCAAACAATCCAGTGATCAACAGCATGAGCATCGATCTGCGCAATTGGGAACCGATGACATGTGTCAACCAAGCCAGCCAGCCTGAACACCCGATCCCATGGTACTTAATGGATGGCTACGCTTTAACAAGACGGGAGGTCAAGGACACGTACAAGGTCAAACAGCTGTTTAAGACATTACTATGGTAACAATGTTGGTTTGCTGTTAACGCAGCACTCAGCAATATTCCAGCTATATGGCGGCGGTCTGTAAATAATCGAGTCTGGACCAGACAATCCAGTGATCAGCATGAGCATCAATCTACACAATTGGGCTAGATAACACGTGTCAACCGAGCCACCCAGCCTGACCACCCGATCCTGTTAGTAGCCTCTTATGACAAGCATTGGTTACTGAAGACCAATTTAACCCGGATCTTCATGGGTCTGGTAACAATGACTGTCACATGCTCATTCTGACACGAGCATGCAACCTCTGCTCTGTTTTAAAAAACAACAACTGACATTTTTGTGCTACTTGTGCCTAAGCACAAAGAAAATGTACATCTCTTGTCGTTAGTTTCTTGATTAACCCCTCACTCAACAATATTTCAGATGCAGATGCCTGTATATAAGAAGTCTGGTCAAGACAAATCAGTGAAAGGCAGCTTGTAAATTGAGTCTGGCCAAGGAAAATCAGCTAATAGCAACTTATAAATGAACAAATCTAGGCAAGACAAATCAAGCCTGGTTCAAAACAGTTATTTATATCATAATCAATGATCAAGGTAAATGTTTCTCGTAATTTTATATCAGTGACTGCTAGAATATAATTGCTTCAAGGGATCGCAAAATAAACTATGCATCCCTTCCGAACAGGAGACATAAATCCAAGAAAAGCTGCTTACAAAGGAAACAGGCTGCATGTGGATTTCTATAAGGGAGAACAAATCCCTTGTATAATGTAATTGAAACACATCACCAAGATAAATTCGTTGTAGCAGTATCACTCGAGGTATATGCAGTAACCATAACAGTTGGTCAGGTAACAGTTGTTTGAGTAGTTATCAGGAGGTGACTTAACACTGTTTTCACTGTATTCCATTTAATCACCTTGTTTCAGCTCAGCATGAGAGGAAAGCCACAAGGTTTGGTACAATACTGACAATCTTTGAAATATAACCGAGAGAACAGGGATGTGAACACACAATCATAGGTATCTGGCACAACCAAGGGACACAACTCAGCATAGAAACATTGTTACCCCCTTACACAAGGCTCCCAGTGAGCCCCTTCAGTTTCTAAAAATGGATACAGACCCTTATCATAAATGGATACAAAGATAGGCATATCCTTACAGTGCCTCTTCTAAGCTTTAGCCACTAGACAAAAAAGCTTGGTTAGATCGCTGACAACTGATGCAGGACATTTATGAGTGAGTTACGTTTTACGCCGTTTTTTTAACAATATCACGGCGGGGGACACCAGAAATGGACTTTACACATTGTGCCCATGTGGGGAATTGAACCCGGGTCTTCAGCGTGACGAGCGAACGCCTTAACCACTAGGCTACCCCACTGCCCCAGGACATATAGGAACATTCAGTTATCTAGTCACGTTTAGAGATGGATATCTTCAACATAGTTCAATAGTTATATATATAAACAGTGAACAGTTGGATAATCAGACCACTGAAATCTGTCTCTTACAAACTGCATCCTTAGACTAAGTTAGAGTGTGGTAGCTGAAACACTTCTTCAATAGCACAAGAGGGAAATCATCATTAAAAAACAAATGAAAATGGAGCAAACATTTGTGATGTTTAATCCTGGATTGGTATTTCCTGAGGTGAGGGAATCAACTGCCCTCAGTTCAAGTCTAGTTTCCACCCTTGCTAAACAATTGTGATCGTAATGTGACCAAAATTATTATTAAGAGTTACGCCCCTTCTATGTCCTTCAAAACAGACAATCAGATTTTACCTTTCATATTGCTTACATTTGCTTCAGATAAATTCAAATCACATTATGACATCATGTAGAGAACCAAGTCTGGACCAGACAATCCAGTGACTGATATTGTGATAATGATCCCCGCCATCTACCAAGTCAGTGAGCCTAACGACCCTTTCCACTTAGTGACTTTTCACAACCTCTTGGTACTACAGGGGTTATACAAACAAAGCTAAAGTGCTAGTTAGTAGTTGGACTTTTCCTGGAATATTTCAAACACAAACATGGATTAATCAGGATGCTGATTGTTATACACAGTCATAATGATCATGACCATCAAAATAGTACAGAGATAAAAAAATGTAAAAATATAGTCGAAGCTTTAAATGCACAACAAACATAACCAAAGGCCATGACAAATGATAAAGCACTTTCAAGAACACACTGCAAACTTTCCGCTCACATTTCAATATGATTCATTTAGAACAACCAAAATAATGCTATATTGATGTTTCAAGCATCAGATATTTTCTACACAGGATGGATTCAGAAGTGATATTGAAAGAGTAAACGTTTTTGACAGGCAGATGGTGGGTGATAAACAAAAACAACACAGGATAACTTTTTCAGATCAGGTGAGCTTAAAATATCACTGAACATTGTACACAGAGTGGTATAAAAGTTTCAAAATTGTTTCAACAAGTATGAATACTATGAGGTAAGTCACCAATCATGTACGATGAGCGTTCTTATGAGTCCGCATATGACGGTCTAGACTGAAGGAAAAGGGAAAACCCTTTCCACAAATGTCACATTTAAATGGCTTTAAACCAGAATGAACACGAGAGTGGTACTCCAGATTATGTGCAGTTGAGAAGTCCTTCCCACAATCCTTACACTTGAAATTACGTTCCCCTGTGTGGGACAGCATGTGACGTCGAAGATTGTTTGCAGAGCCGTGAAACTTGCCACACAAATCACACATGAAAGGTTTCTCACCTGTGTGGATCCTCAAGTGTATTTTCAGTAGGCTGGGTTTACTGTAACACTGCCCACACAGCTCACACATATGCAGCTTCTGTTTGAGCTCCACGTGGGAACTCCGGTGCTTACAAAGGCTTATTGCCTGTTTGTATCTCTTCAAACAAATTTCACATTGATGGGGCTTGTTTTTCGAATGATCTTCATCGTGATCTTCTAGATCGTCCCGAGACTGGAACACCTTCCCACACTCCTTACATTTCAGTTCTTCATCTGCCCCACAACACTTCGGTTTGTGAATGACGAGATTACCTGAGTGGAGAAAACACTTTCCACATTTGTCACATTTATGGGGGCGTTCCTTTTTGTGGATTTTCATGTGGCGTTCCAGTAACAGTTCTTCTGTGAAGCTTTTCTTACACAACTGGCACTTATGGGACTTTTCTTGATGGATGAGTGCGTGTGACGACAGCTGCCCCGGCTGTGTGAATGTCTTGCCACAATCTGCGCATGTGAACGGCTTCTCTCCAGAGTGGATTCTCATGTGGTACTTCAGGGTACCCGACTGGGCAAAACACTTCTGGCAGGTGGGACATCTGAAAGGTTTCTCTCCAGTGTGGACTCGGACGTGTTCATTTAGTTTTGATGGCTTAGCAAAGCATTTTCCACACACATCACATCGATACTTAGACTTGTGGGAAGTAATCTTCGGTCTTACTTCCACCTGATCTTGTGACTCTGAAGGTTTTTGTACAGCTAAAATTGAAAGAAAATTTGTTTAAGCATGAGTGAGTGAGTTGGGTTTATGCCACCTTTTGCAATGTTCCAGGTGTGAGGAATCAAATCTGAACCATTAGACTACCCATACACTCCTTTCAGCTAGGGCTGGGACGATACACTATGTCACGCTACGATACGATCACGATGCTGACTGAGGTGAGGTGAGGTGAAATTGGATTTTCACGTCACGCGTGCATGCGTGTCAATAATGTGTATGTAATGCGGCTGCTTGTACTAGCCCAGACTTAAGCTGGTTTTATAGTGCTAGCCCAATGAGATATTTTACCCCCTCAGACACATTATACAGACTCTGGGGCGACCAGTCCATGCAGCCAGGCAGGGATCAACAAGTACCATATTTTAACGTCTTTTGGTATGATGCGGTGGGGGGATCAGTTTGCTGATTCTGAGTGGTCAATGTATTTCATAGGTGTGTCTCATCAATATCAGAAATATGTCTGTGACAATCAGGCTGGTGAGTGAGTATGTAGGATAGGCTGGTTGAATGGTTAAGCTGTATCTCAATTGTCTGAATCTGTTAAAGATATCAACCAAGATTTGATTATTTACAGACAGCATCACACAGCTGGAATATAGCTGAGTGTGGTGTAAAGATGTTTCACAAACAAAGAACAAACCCTACCTGGTAAGTGCTGCACTCTGTTGTCTGTCACCTGTATCGGAATTACTGGAGGCTGCAGGTTGAAGATCTCAGAGCTTGACTCTGCTGGGGACACGGGTGAAAATGGGACATTGTCCACAAAATTTTGATATGCTAAATCAGTCAAATTATTCAATAAGTTTCCCGTTTCTGAACTCTGCCGGCTGATGAATCGATCACTGTGGTCTGTATCACTCATCGCTGTGGCCTCAGGGTATTGACTGTTCGTGGTAACATACCTTCCCCCCGATTCCTCTACGGTGGTATGCGGCCTGTCCCCACCCTCCCCGTGTACATGCTGGGGCTGATACTCCTCGTTTACTCCATTAATACTGACTCTGTTGAAATGGTTGGACTCTGGAAGACTGATGATGCCTTGAGGAACGTACTGTGATCCTGGATCTGATATTTCCGATCCATTGGCATAGCTGTGTTCAGATTCTATGTTGGGTCTGTCAGCAAAGTTTTCTGTGACGTCATGTGTAGTTTGAGTTGGGAATGACCTGTTGTCTGATACTGAGATAAAATGTGTGTCATCTCGATCATTCCTGTGATATGCTTCGGTTGGTTGTTGGTGAAGTCGGTCATCTTGTTTAGCTGCCAGTTCAGCAGACAATGCAGTGAGAGCTGTGACTTGCACCCAGGGTACAACATTGTTCACTGGAGAGTTGTTATGTACAGATACTATAGGGTACTTCTCGCTGGCACTCACATCTCCCTGCAATGTATTCATTTTACACTGTGAAAATGACAAATATGGACTAGGTATGCCTCTCGTTTCTAAGGACTAAGTAAACATTATAAAAATCCAGTATTCAGTCAAAAGTCTGCAGCAAATGTCAGTAAAAATTTCAAATCATTAACGTGATTTAGAAGAAGAAAGAACAAGATGAATGTCAAAATGCCATATTACTTCATTCACTGAAAATTAAACTTAGGCTGTAAATATTTCAACAAAAGACTGAGAAATAAATTTTGACAACAACATGATAACTGGATTAGCAAGCTGACATTGAAGAGCTAATACAATATGAAATGAAATGTTATAATCTTATATAGAACAAACTTTATGGATACCAACTTCTTTTTATTTGTGAGTGCGACGTTTCGATACAGATTCTTGTACGTTGTCAAGCACGAATAAAAAGAAGTTGTTATCCATAAAGTTTGTTCTATATTGTACTTCCCGAATTCTAAAATGCCACTCAAAGAATGTTATAATCTTATATTTTATAATAGTTTTTACTAGATAATATGCTGAAAAAGTACCAGGATCAACATCTGATAACTGCCAGCAATAGAACTTGCTACTGGTCCTATTGTCCTTGCCAAAGTGCCCAACAAAAAAGTAAAAAATTGCCATTTTTAAGTGCACAAGAAAAAGTTAGTTACCAATGCTGAACTTCTTTTAAAAAACATAAAGGGATTACATTACTAAACTCAAACCGAAGAGGTGAAGATATAGTCACCTGTAGGCTAACTCGTGTTTGGCTGTGTACAAAAGGAGACAGAAGCTGCAGGTATTCGTTTTTCTCCAGGTCAGATTCAGTCAAACATAGTTCATCAAGCAGCATTTCTGTGACAATACCACAACGACAGCCTCTCAGTACATTTCCCAGGCGCCGGATATACTTGTCCTGAAATATTATTGAATAAGACAAATCCATAAATCATAATCGTGATAATATATGAAAGATAAACAATATCTAAGAAACTTACAAACAAACCACTGCATACCATGGATGATTTTTTGTTTTCTTGGGATACTATCATAAAACATATTCTCTCAGAAATTCTGACAATATAAATGTTCTCCTTAAGTTAAAATACATTGACTTGAACTGTTTACCTCTATATGTAAACAGGCATTTTCAGCAGCATGTGTCCCAAACTAGTTTCTTCAGCATGTGGGACGGTGGGGTAGCCTGATTGTTACCCTGTTGACTGTTGTAGTGATCACACTGAAGACCCCGGGTTCGATTCCCCACATGGGTACAATGTGTGAAACCCATTTCGGGTGTCCCCTACTGAGATATTGGTGGAATATTGTTAAAAGCGGCATACAACGATACTTACTCACTCACTCTCCTTTGCATATGACTGACTGACTGAGTTTGGTTTTACGCCGCTTTTAGCAATATTCCAGCAACATCACGGCGGGGGAACACCAGAAATGGGATTCACACATTGTACCCATGTGGGGATTCGAACCCGGGTCTTTGGTGTGATAAGCCAACGCTTTAACCACTAGGCTACCCCACCGCCCCCTTTGCATATGATGCAAATAGACCAGGTGAGTTGTATTATGTACATTTTTGTAATTAGCATACAAGCAAACACCTATACCCTTACTGGGGCTGAAGGGGTCGTTGTAGCACGGATACTACAGATATGTACCCCAGGTACGTTTCTGTATACAGAAACGTACCCTGGCCATAATGAGAATACAGAAACGTACCCTAGGACGATTCCATTCCCATTGTGTCATATTCTTGATCGGAACTGTCATGCTGTTGTATTAGATACATTTGATTGCTTTATGTAAGTAATGAGAATACACAGTAACGGATATTCGCAATGCATATGAATACCACTCGCAATCAGTTGAACTACATGCAGTTTCGGTTTTGGATTGCGGAATATGGACTCGTCTGCCTTTTAGGGTATCGGGTACATTTCTGTATTTTGACTTTGTTTAGGGTACATATCTGTATACAGAAGCGTACCTGGGGTACGTATCTGTAGTACCTGTGCCGACGACCCCTTCAGCCTTACTGGGCTACCCATTATTATAAAGTTACTCTTTCCTCAAGGAACAAGAACTTGACTATGCTGACGTGAGTGAGTGAGTGAGCAAGCGAGCTTTACGCTGCACCAAGCAATATTCCAGCTATATTGCGGTGGTACACAAAACTGTTAGGAAATGCAATTGGTTTAATGGCAGGCTTGCAAGAGAAATACTTAAAATAAAATTAAAATGTTAAAACTTTACCTTTTCAACACATTTTGCAATGAGTCGATCGTATCTCTCCCCTAGGTCCATCTCTCACCAGGTAAAGCAATTATTAGTTAGATGCATCGCTTCTCTGCTGTTGTATTTACAATACTATGAGTATAACTGCTTCTTTAAAAGTGCTCAAAATATATTTTCATCGCCATTCTTAAACACACGTAACCATAATTGACAGAGCATGGCGTCTGAAATAGCAACATACTGAACCGTCCATGACAACACTTTTCCATATCCACTTGCCCATATGCGGAATACATAGGAAACAAACAAGAAACCTAAGACGCGTGTCTTCAAAAAATAAACATAATCCAATATAGGAGCGTGAATGTCACAACGTATGATTTTTCTATTCAACTTTTAACAAACGATGAAGGTTTTATAACCGGAAGACAGTATCCAAGTAGGCACGCACCAAATATATTGTTGGATAAAATCATAAATGTCCATGAACAATCTGGGAAAATATAGATATTTCAAGTATTATAAATCTCCACCATGTATCCTTCTCACAAAGCTAATAGTTTAACAAGACCTGAAAACCTCCTTCGATGAATATTTATCGCGCACCTGCTCTGCTCCAAACGATAACTTCCGCTTACATTTCTGGCATTTGTAATAAAAGGTCCATGCGGTTGTTGCAGGTATTGTACACGAAGTATAGAACACCTTTGCGTGGTTATAAACCACTACATGTTTAAAAGTAAATATTATAGTTTATATGTCGCTCAATTTTGTTTTTACTTGGCACTTTCAATAAGATTATACACTAATATCAGTCTAATAGTCTGGGCCGCGATGGGGTCCAACAGTCTACATGGTCTAGGTTTAGTGTCTGCACCTGTTCTTCACACATTCTCAGTGAGGCTACTTTCTGTAAATGTTTTTATGTTGTTTTATGAAAATGCAGCTATGTATTGGTACAGTTTAGTATCAGTTTTCTTTGATGTTTTTGTATTCCAGCATTATTACATCATTTTATGTTTCTAATATCCACATGCACATCCAGTTGTCCGTTGCTCCTTTGTACTGATGAATTTTGCTTCATGATCATGTTTGAAATACATTACACATGATTTTCATAACAAAAAGTTATCAGTTTTTTCTTCACTTGTACTGCAAAACATACATGTACTCATTCTCAGTGGCTCAGCCGAAGACCAGGATTCTTACAATGCTTGACACTGTCCCCACCGTGATGTTGCTATTGTGTCAGTCAGTGTAATGGATAGAGTGTCTGCTCAGAGTAGAGAAGTTTCGTGGTCTGTACTATCAGACCAGAAGACATTAAAACCCAGTACTTGTTGTTATCATGCCTTGCATGATTGGTCAGCTCAGAGTCGTTATACTATGTCTGAGCAGGGGCATTAGTGTTAAATGGTGGCATGGTATCTGTGTGGGTTGATACTCTAAAACTGGCATGTCTTGACTACTTCAAGCAGATTTCCACACTCTTCGTTATATAAGTGCACTAGCCTTGAATGCATTGTGAAACTATCTTTCACCACAAATAACGTGACTGGTCTTAGGGTTTCTCTCCTCAAAGTTCAGATATCATTCATGTTTAAGTTTAACTTTCTATTTCAGCTTGTAATGAATAAACAAGTGTATTATTGATGACATCTGAAGCATGGATTCCTTGTCAGAGCTCCAACTGATCAATGACTATCTAATCCGAAATTGTCAAGAGAAGGTAATCCTCACTGAAATATTTCTGATTACCTAATAACACAGCCTAATATGTGTACATTCAGCAGGTAGTGGGCTATCCTACTGTTTGAATCATTAGCTTGCCTCATTGAAGACCTGGGTTCATTTCCCCTTAGCTGACATTATGAAGCCCATTTCTGGTGTGACACCATCATTTTCAATTAAGCAGTTAGTGATAACATACCATTTGAAAGTTTCATTACAGTTTAAGTATGTGTCCTTCAAGAACTAATGGACCACCTCCGTGGTGTAGTGGTTAGACCGTCCGCCCGGTGAGCGGAAGGCGGGTTCGATCCCCGGCTCATACTCAAAAAGGCGTTAAAAATGGTACTTGTTGGTCCCTGCCTGGCGCTCGGCATTAATGGGTACAACAAGGACTGGTCGGCTCGGAGTCAGTATACTGTGTCTGAGTGGGGTATTCATGCTTCACTGCGGCATGGTATCTCAGTGAGCTAGCACTATAAAACCAGCTTAAGTCTGGGATAGTTGCTGACATACACATACATATTGCACGATGGTCATATGAGTGAAATATTCTCAAGCAGTACGTAAAACCCAATTTCACCTCACCTCACCTCATCTCATCTCACCTCACCTCAAGAACTAATGATTACCATGATTACAATGACTGTACATGCTTAACTTATATATGTATGATATTGTCATTAAATGCCTGTTTGTCCCAGGACAAGTTCATCCGTAGATGTGGGCCACTACTTCGACACTGTCAGTGTGGCGTGGTGACTCAGAAGATCCTGGAAGATCTCTCCTGTATAGAGACCAGAATCAACACGGAGGAGTACAGGAACCTGTTCTCAAAGACACTAGTGAGTTGGCATTACCTGGAATATATACTCTCACAGTATTTGTCAATGTCAAGTTATGTAAGATTTGTGACTATTTTCTTCTAACTGTAGTACTAGTAACCTAATACTTGCTAGCATAAAAATATGTTGAAAGAGGTGATTAGGTCATCAAAGTGCATCAGGTTGAATTTTGTATCATTTCCCTAGTAGCTAAGGGGAACACTATCATGAATTTTAGAACAGTTCATTGAAAAAGCAATGAATTACCGCTTTTAACTTCTTGCCACAAAAGGTGATCACTGGATTGTCTGGTCCAGAATCGATTATTTATGGACCGCTGGAATATTGCTGAGTGTGGCTTAAAACAAAACTCACTCTCACTCACTCACTAACTCACTCACAGGATCAGACTATAATCATGATAATAGCTTGAACTTGGAAATATTTAGTTCCAGTTTGGTATGTAATACTGACACCTGCTGGAGATTTGGACGATTTTCTAGATAAATCTAGTACCTATCGGTACTAATTTCATGCCATGATGTTTCAGGCCTGTCAAGACTTCTCAACAGATCCACCTCTTGAACCAGATCCACCCCTGGACCCGACTGATGGACCTGTTGTGTCCGAGGAAGTCCAGTACATATCCCAGGGGCCACAGAGGACACTCAAGTTGACATCATCGTCCATGACCTTCCCTCTACGCCTCAGGCAGGGGGAGACTACTCTTTCAGTATAAGCAGTGACATGACCCTCACTACCAATGAACCAACTGTGAGAAAAATTGCCCTGCCACCCTATCCAGGAACAACTCACCATGCACCGTCTGACAACCAGGATGCGGCATCGGCTGAAACATCATCAGCTCTGGAAGCTCTACAAGCCATTGCTGGTGTTGCCGGGGAAACAGGTTCCCTGGTGGTATACGAGCAGTTGGTAGATGAGGAACAGGTGATCGTGGTGACCACGGACCAGATGCTGCACTTGTCCGAGATTCAACAAGAGGCAAATGAGATCACTGTGTTGGCCCGAAACTGCAAGTCAACAACCACCCATTGGTGACAGCAATACAGGTAAAAATGTTCTCTCAGTCATACACAGACCTTTGTTATGGTTACTTAGGGACTGCCTCGGTGGCCTAGTGGATAGAGCATCTGTCCAGGGAGTGGAAGGTCAGTAGTCCAAACCCTGGCCGTGTCATACCAAAATATGTTAGAATTGGTCTTCAGCAACCGATACTTGCCGTGAGAAGCGACTAACGGGATCGGGTGGTCTGGCTTGCTGACTTGGTTAACGCATGTCATTGTATCCCAATTGCGTAGATTGATGCTCATGTTATTGATCACTGGGTTGTCTGGTCCAGACTCAATTATTTACAGACCGCCGCCATACAGGTGGAATATTGCTGAGTGCGGCGTTTACCTACAAACCAACAACAACAACCACTGAGACATCGCACTGTAGTTTTAACATGCATACCCCATTTGACACAGTATACTGACTCTGAACCAAGCGGTTCTTTTCTTATATATTCCTTAAAGCATAACAAAAAGCAGCGAAGCAACACTTACATTTCTAACACAGATCGTCACGGGTTGATATCTCAGTGTGCTAGCACTACAGAACCGGCATTAGTCTGGCAGACACTAAAACAAACACTCTTGCACAAAGTGAACCCCATTTTGCCTTTGTTCTTTCATCATCTACCCGAGACAAGGGAGTTCACTGACTGTGATTTAGTACGAACCTCCAGTTTCCATCCTCGTCAAAGTCGGCTGGAATTTCAGTGTTATGTTTTGGCTGGACTGAGAATCCAAATAGTGTAACCAAATGTATCTGTTTGAAACGTAAAAGAAGGTGTTTGATCCGATATGAATTCACTTATCTGGACATGCTCTCCATGAAAATTATATATTTTCTATCTTGCAAATGATTTATGTTGTCAAGTCTAATAGTTACACAGTAATAACTAGATTTTTCAGATTTGAATTAAAGCTACTTTTCATATTTACAGATGCTGAGAAATATTTGACAGAAATAAAAAAGGATTTTATCTCCAAAGAGGAAGAAAAGGAATTATTAGAGAAAATCGCAGTAACACCAACGCAAGGCAAGACTGCTGTTATTTCTGATAAGGTGTACCAGTGTAATTTGTGTGAGAAATCCTACAGCAAAATTCAGAGCTACAAGGAGCATTGTCTGAAGCATGACAAATCGAGACAGGAGAGGTGTAAATGTGACATCTGTGGCAAAGGATTCTCCAAACCATTCTTGCTCAAGACTCACATGGAAACCCATAACTGCTTCAAGCCAGAGAAGTGTGGAACATGTGGCAAAAGATTTGCCCAAAGGAGCTCCCTCACGCGACACATGAAAATACACACGCAGGAAAAGCCATATTCATGTGTAGTGTGTGATAAGAAGTTTAACCAGTTTATCCATGCTAAACGACACATGGCATTACACTCTGCGAACAGACAGAAGTGCCATTTATGTCCTCGGACATTTCCCCATAAAAAATTGCTCGATAAGCATTTAGAAATTCATGAAAATTTGGCTGCACAGCAAAAGGTGCCTTTAAGTCCAAGTAATGTGCCCATTGGTAGCAAAGGAATCATAAAAAAAGAATCCAGAAAAACGGAAATTCTCGTGTAGGTACTGTATGGACAAGTTTGATTTGAAAACAGATTTGAAAGCTCATTATGAATCTCATGCAGAGGACAGGCCGTTTAAATGTGATGTGTGTGGGTTTAGATGTGTGTCTGAACGAGGGCTGACATTCCATAAAACTTCCCATACAAACAGTTCAAGCAACATGTGCGAGGTTTGTGGTCGGACGTTTAAATATAGAGCTGGCTTGACGAACCATCTCCGAGAACATGCTGGTACGAAGCCTTTCCTGTGTGGGCAGTGTGGGGAGGGGTTTGTGTTTCAGCGTTTCCTCACACGACACTGTAAGATCAAGCATAATATTGTCCATCAGCACAGTTGTAAGACATGTGGTCATCAGTTTAAATCATTCAAAGCATTGAAATATCACCGTGCAACAACTCATAGGAGACAGCCGAGTGTGTTTACCTGCAGGAAGTGTGGAGAGAAGATGAGGGGCATGGCTAGCCTCATCAGTCATCGGAGGAAACATCTTGAAGGTGAGGAACTGCCAGAACTAAATACTTTTTGTTTTTTGTTTAACACTGCTCTCAGTAGTATTCCGGCTGTATGAGGGTGGCCTGTCAATGGTCAAGTCAGAAATATGCAATCCTGTTACTGATATTTTGAATAACAATCCAAGCCATGGTGGTATGATGACTTACAATCAACCATGTCACCAATCCTGACTACGTGATTTCTTAAGCTGCTTCGTACAACCAGTGTAGGTTGATGAGAAGCAGTTGCAGTCTGAATCCTCAGTTGAGATATTGGTCATAAACCATGTGATTGTGTGTGAGTATGAGACCGTTTTTCTCACTCTCCAGTTTGTTGCAATGAGCTCCAGGGTTTTCTTGCATTGAGTTGTACTTTGGAGTAATAGTGACATACACACTTATCTATTCTTAGTAAGCTAATCAAAGTTATATTTATGACTCCATGATGTTGAACAAGCTCTACTCTATGCATGAACTTCAGGGATAGAAATTAACCTAACTCTGGGAACTTCTGTTAGTGTTATATGAATCCAAGGGTCTGAGGAAATTCAGACATTTTGAGGAGTACTGCTGTATGTTGTCACTATTTGGGGTAGTACCTGGCACATGTTGCTTCACAGAGGTAAATGAGCTCTGGTCTGCTAGCTTGACAAGTTCTGTTAGTGTTTAAAGTATCTTAAGATATTCCATCAACATCACGGTGGGGGACACCAGAAATGGGCTTCACACATTGTACCCATGTAGGGATTCGAACCCGGGTCTTCGGCGTGACGAGCCAACGCTTTAACCATTAGGCTACCCCACGGCCCCAGAGTATCTTAAGAGCCAGTGGAATCTCAAACATTTGGCAAACCAATCCTCCTCTGCCCTTCATTCTCTTCCTGTTCCCTCCCATCACTTCACATCACCTCACCAAACTTCACCTCGTCTCGTCTCACCTCACCTCACCACAGCTCAAAAGCAAGTAGGTAAGGTTCATGACCTGTGCATGAGTGCCTTTGCTAACTATGTAACCTGATCCTGCTTACAGAGGCATCATCTGAAGGAAGACAAGCTACAGATGCTGCTGATGAGACTGTGGAACAAACAGGTGATGCTCCATGTTATACTATGCTGTTCTAGTGCAAGCTATATAGATCAGTATGTATCAATCAGCTTGATCTGTCAATATGTCTCAAGGCAGTATATCAATCAATATATCAGTCAATTTGCACTTGGGACCTTTCCACCATTATGTGATCAGTCACTTTTATGCATCTCATCTTCATCTCCAGACACAGAGAACAGAGGTACGGAGGGGGAAGCAGATGGGGATATACAACATTTGCTGAAGAGATTCACAAGTAAGGAGTCCATCACCTACAGCAGCTACTGAGATTTGTGTCTGTAGTCGTGATGTTATTTCATTTTTGGGGATAACAGATTCTTCAGCTCTGGTTTATGATAAGGACACCTTGGCATCCAAATATACTTTTATAGACTTCATTGCTCTTTTGACTTTCAACTGCAGGGTTCATAACAACTTAATAAGTTGTTAACTTTGACATTGTTCAATGTAGACTACATAAAATTGCACAGGACTTAAAAAGGGCTTAATGTTATGAAAAAAAGAATGTAGTTTCATAGAAACTTTCACTGTAATTTCAAGAATGATACGAAATATTGACTTACATGAGTTATAAGCATATAGAGATGCTAGAGATTTGTTGATGGAGTTGTCAAGTTTTGACGATATTTGCTAAAAGAAAATTGCAGTATATGGGCACAAAGAATATGTCCCTTGGTCTTGTGTGGATTCTAACCCAAGATTGGGCCTGATTATGACAGTGATTATTACTGTGTGTGCATGGTATAACTCACATAACACGAGTCCATCATGCTGATATTTCAGGGTCAGGAGGGGAGAGTACTCCTGGGAAGTACCAGAAAATGATCAAGAGTAACTCCACCAGTGCTGGAGACACAACAGGTAAGTCAACTAGTTAGGTATATTATAACAAGCCTCATGGAATAAACACTGGTTACAGTCAACCAGGCCAATCCTTGTATCAGTGTACCAAACATGTAGAACTACTGGCATGCTAGTGCAAACAGGCCCCATAGACTCAGGTCATTGTAATCTGATAATGTGGGTTATAATTACCCCATTGCTTGGTTCACATAATTCACCCACACACTCACAGAGTCTAACACTCATGAAATACATCAACACTCACTCACACATCCATGCTCAGTCACTCACTCACAAAATTCACCCACACACTCACAATCACTCACACATCCATACAACTCATCCATACACTCTCATGAAATAACACATCCACACTCACTCACACATCCATACAACTCATCCATACTATGCATTCACCTACAACAGTCACAATCACTCAATCACACATCCACAACACATACTGTGCAATTCACCCACATCCATACACTGCATTCACCTACAAAACTAACACAACAACTCACTCACTCATGAAATACACTCCACACTCACTACTCACACATCCACACATCCATACTATGCACTCAGTCACCTACAAAAAAACTCCAACTCACTCACTCACACATCCATACAACTCATCCATACTATGCACTCTCACCTACAAAACTAACACAATCACTCACTCACACATCCATACAACTCATCCATACTATGCACTCACCTACAAAACTAACACAATCACTCACTCACACATCCATACAACTCATCCATACTATGCACTCACCTACAAGACTAACACAATCACTCACTCACACATCCATACAACTCATCCATACTATGCACTCAGTCACTCACCTACAAAACTAACACAATCACTCACTCACACATCCATACAACTCACCCATACTATGCACTCAGTCACTCACCTACAAAACTTACACAATCACTCACTCACACATCCATACAACTCACCCATACTATGCACTCAGTCACCTACAAAACTAACACAATCACTCATTCACTCAAACAATTCACTCACAAAACTCAATGTTCATTGCATTTTGGTTTTCAGTAAATTTTCTGTTAGCGTCATTACATGTATTTCCACACACTAACTTTCAGATCATTCAGAAAAGGCACACCCAGAGACCCCTAGAATCGAAGACAGCTCACCTGTTGTGAAAAATGACACGACCCTGGACAAGGACATCAGTGGTGATATTGTGTTCAATGCACAAGGAAAACCACGGAAAGCGTGTCCTATCTGCAACAAGATGCTACACCCGACAAGCATCTATAAACACATCCGAGACCACGACCGACCACAAAATGACAACATGTCTTTCACAAAGAGCGGCCAGCCGCGGAAACCATGTTCTGTATGCAATGCACTCATCTCCGAAACAAGCTTATACACACACATGCGGGTTCACAAGAAACATGGGGATATCCCAGCATTCCCTCCTCCGAAGCAGGATGATGGGAAGAAGAGAAATCCGTGTAAAGTGTGTGGAAAACTCTGCACAGATTCGTCAATGTCCAAACACATGGTGCTACACATGGCAGAACGGCCTTTCAGCTGTGATATATGTGGAAAGAAATTCACTCAAAAATTCCATGTTACACGTCATAAACATTCTCAACATGCTAAGAAGTGACTGGGTCTGATCTTGATGTGTTTTATCTTAAGTATTGAGATACTTGGTAGTGAAAGTTCTGATGATTCTGATGTTTTCGCTTAAGTATTGACAGACTTCTAAGTAAAATTAATGATAATGCTGTTGTTTTACCTGTACTCCCCTAATACTTTCTAGTTGAATAACGAGATCAGGATGTTTTACCTTACATATAAGTATCATACTTATAAGTGACAGTATTTGTGATCGAGAAACACTTCATTTTGGGCTTTTAACTTGCTCCGGTCATAAATCTGATTTAATATGTTCAGTATCATTGCCAAGCAAACGTACCGGATTTTCTTAAATTTAAACCTTAAAGGGATGGTTAATGTAAAGGTGACATGAAATGCATAAATATTGGAGCAATAATGCATGATGGGAAAACCTGCCTGGATTGCTTCAAATGTCCCCAGGCATTTTGTTCAAAGCTTCAGTCTGTCAAAAGCAAGAAATATGAAAAGATATTCATGAAGGTAAATTTTTGCCCAGTGAGACATTTCAAGAAGCTGTAAATATAGTGCAATATTTGATCCTACTATGCTAACAATGGAATATGCAATGGTTGTTGTCAGGTGCACTTAGCCGATATTATTTTAAGCTCACTCGACCTGAAAGGCCATGAGCTTTTGTTATCACAATTTCGTCCGTTAGCTACTCTGAAATTGTTTCATGGAATCAATGAAATTTTGTGCAGATCTTTGTTACTGTAAGGAGTTTCAGATTAATTCAAGACATCAGAATTGGGATTTCAACATGGTTGCCAAAGAGCCATCTTTGATTCCAAAATGGAAACATTAAATATCTTCTCCAAGCCTTAAAGGGGCAGAGGCCTGAAACTTGGTAGGTAAGATAGGTGGGTTCTATCAATATTTTCTTGATCTGAAATGCAGTATGGCTGCCATAGATTGAAAAATATAAATGATTGTATGAAAAATCATTCGACCAATGAAGCTGAAGCTGCGCATGCATGTCATTTCAACCAGTAAAGATGCCTGACTTCATTCAACAGGTTTTAAACCAATTGTTAATGATTCTTTCAAGTTCTTATCCCGATGAGCTACAGTTCCTTAAGCGCCATTATTGTTATGGTAGTAATACCAGCATATTGTTAGGTTTACCATACACCCTCGTGAGATCATGATATATATGTGCCTTGTGTACTGACAGAAATGTTGAAATTGTGTGGTGTTACGGCAGTCCTTGATGCTTGCTTGGATAAATATAGCTCAACAGTGTATGGTTATTGAATGAATAACATGGTTGTTTTGAAATTGTGTTGTTTTTCTTTTTGTGTTTCTTGAGCAAGGTTTTATGCTTTCAGCAGTATTCCAGCAATATCATGGCAGAGGACACCTGAAATGGGCTTCCATTGTATCTCAGTGCTTCTTGAATTTGTCAGTTTCATCAACTTCATCACCATAATGGAATATTTAATAGTTGGCAGAATTTGTGTGTTAAAGTAAAAAGTAAAATAATAAATGAATGGGTCCCTTCTTATCCAACAAATGTTAAACAGCTTATGAACTTATGCAGAATTGGGAAAACAAGTGTACTTATCCTGACTTGTCTGTACGAACATTTTACCTAGTCATACTTCTATTACGCATTGTATTACATATCACTATTTTGTAGTAACACTGATGCTGTATATCACTGTGTGGAACACTGCACTCAGTTGGTTATGTTGGAGACTTGATTTACACATGACCATTTCTTTAAACCAAAACACTTCACAATAAGTGTCATAACCCCCTGTACTGAAAATAAGAACATTTTCATAGAAGTCTTGTAATTTCACTTGAAAACAAAATCACAAAAGAGTCTGATGGAGCCACTTTGTAATGTACATAAAAGGGGAGTCAAGCCTGTTTCCCATTGTCCTTACATCGTGTTTTTAACACCAGTTAAATATAGCTTCACAATTCTCCATGAACAGTTGCATCTAAGGTGTGCCAGAAACCTTGGCTTGTGGGTTAAATCTGATTCACCAATGGTGTGTCTGCACCACACGTACTTGTGCGACAGCCTAGCGGTGGTTAAAACCTCCTTTTGTCACAGGGAGGTCCGGGCGGTGAGGTAGCCTAGTGGTTAAAGCGTCCGCTCGTCACGTTGAAGACCCGGGTTCGATTCCCCCCATGGGTACAGTGTGTGGAGCCCATTTCTAGTGTCCCCCGCCGTGATATTGCTGGAATATTGCTAAAAGCGGCGCGTAAAACAATACTCACTCACAGGGAGGTCCGGGTTCGATTCTAACATTGACAATGTTTCTGTTGTCCTACATACTCACTCACATCAAGTTTGAAAGGCAATGAGCAGAGCTGCTGCAGATGTTTCTCCTCTTTCAATCGACAAGCACCTGTGAAGATCTGGGTTAGAATTGGTCTTAACAACAGATTAGTCAGACTTGCTGACTTGGTTCCCACATGCCATCATATCCCAATTGCATAGATCAAAACACATGATGTTGATCACTGGATTGTCCGGTCCAGACTCGATTTGTAACAGACCACTGCCATACAGCTGGAATATTGCTGAGTGTGGCATAAACAACAAACTGACAACAAACACTTGACATACCACAGTTTAACTGATAACTGTTCCAAGTGGCATTATACTCTTGAAGATCCGGGTTAGAATATTGATCTTCAGTAACCCATGCTTGTCGTAAGAGGCGACTAATGGGATCCGGTGGTCAAGCTCACTGACTTGGTTGACACATGTCATCGGTTCCCAATTGCGCAGATCGATGCTCATGCTGTTGATCACTGGATTGTCTGGTCCAGACTCGATTATTTTCAGACCGCCACTATATAGCTGGAATATTGCTGAGTGCGGCATAAAACTAAACTCACTCACTCACTCCAAGTGGTATTAAACAAGACTCAAACGAACTGAAAATGATAGACCTGTAGAATACACACAGCACATAAAACTATAAGGATGTAAATTTTATTTACAATGATTTATTTTTATCTGACATGTGTCAGAAGACTTTGGTTTATGAGATAACATCCAAACAAAAGATATGTTTTACAAGACATATGTCAGATTAATCCATAAATATGACCAGACTGTCACCAAGCTCAGAGTCAAAGTTTATTAGGATTTATTTTCATTATTAAAGTGGCAGTGACTGTCAGCAATCACAATACTTCACTATACTTACAAACAATACAGATTTTTAGAGAAGGAAAACAAAGGCACTATTTATTCATTTAGATACATAACTGGAAAAATAACCAATTTTTTAACCTGATAATTAGTGAAAAGCTTCCTAAGCAATTTGGCAAACTGTTATTGAAATCAGACCCACAGATGAGTGGATGATTATAAAAATCTGCCTGAAACTCAATTCTTTTCTACCTGATGCCGATGTAGGAAGAAGCAAGTGTTTTGAAGCCTGTGGTCATCTGACCCTTCAAGGCTCCACATATGACCTTATAAAGTCTTTAATTTCATGTTAGATCTTGAAGTCGTTCATAAAAGTATTCCTGTTTTGTGGAATTACACATACAGTAGTCTAGATAATTCTCCACAGCAGGGACGTATATGTACACTGTCGGTAACTTCTACAATCGAAAACAAAGAGTGTTTTGAGGGCCTGCCCTATATGGAGACAGACTTTTCTCACTAATGCTAAGATTTGTGAGATCCCATACTGATTTCAATTTGTAAAATTATGCTAAGAATTTCTCAAAAGCCTTGATGGATCCCCAACCGTCATGGTTTGGAAGACAAGAGATCATCAGAATCTTGAACACAGGACAATGTGGTGTCTCTTCTACAGTCAAGATGGCAATTGTCAGGATGAGTTAACTTTAAGTGAGATTGTCTCACACTATGCCGCATAATATTTGAGGGGGAGGATGGGGTGGGGGAAATGTCCTCTTGGGGTTGTTACTGCAAAGTGGTAGAAAACCTAACACAGGACAATCTACTTCCTCATAAACCCTCCCCTCCTCAAAATACAAACCTCACACAGAATGCATAAAACCACATACAATATTGCTACAACTTGAAGTATTTCCTGGATGAGATTCTGCAAGGGCTGCAGTCAACCCAGGAGAGCCAGGTCATGGCAAGATATGGGGGGAGGTTACACAACTAGTCTGCCACTGGAAACACACAAGTTAAAATACTGATACTTTGTCTATGAGATAAAAGTGATAATGACAATGATAATATTCACATTTCTGAAATGTCCATTATGGCTACTGAAACGATGGTCTGTTGAGAAATGTAGCATTCCGTCTCATTGCAGTGGGTATGTTTACAACCAATCAAACTGCTAACACTAGCTTTATAACTCTTAGAAAAGGTGACAAAATGAGACAATTATGTGAACACAAAATATGTAATGGCATATCTATATGTACATGATAAATATATTTGTGAAAACAACTGTTTCAGACACAAATGTCAAGCTGAAGGATGAGTTTATCAACAGGAAGACCACTTCAGATGCAAGTTTGTTCAAATGGCGTGGACACTAGGAAAAATTATGATCATGTAGATGTTTGTTTGAAGCATGTTCATATACTAACAGTACCCAATTATTGCTGGGAACATATGAAAAATACTCCACTATTAACACTAAGTATACCAGCACTGAAAAAGCACACAAATAAAATGTAATGACACAAATATAATGCAATGACCGATGAGTTTGTATAAATGTTTGAGACATTACTGAGTGCTTCCTCTATTTTCACCCAAACAATAATCAAATTTACCCATATAGCACAAGTCAATTCAGGCTTTCAAAGAAAAGAACGATCTGACAAGTCTCTTTTTCCCCACCTACAGACATCATTCTAAAGGATTTAATCTTTTGGAACTCTGAAAGCTATTCATGATTCTTCAGATTTTCTAAAACTGCCTTTTTAATAAAAATGATGTTTTGGGCAGTATGGAGAGAACTGTTGTAAAAACTTCTGTCTACACTAAAAATAATTTTAAAAGAAACAGTAGAAAACATGAAATCGGAGAAAACTGTCATTCTTACGTAAGGGAACACTGGGTAATCTAAACACTACATGATGTCTACCTTACAAGTTGAAAACTGATGTACAGCAGCACCAAACGAAATCATTTCTCCGGCAAACTAGGGTGACATAATATATATAGTGATAAAGGGGATTTAGTTTGACGTATTATACAGTCAATAAAAATGGTACGATTATACAAACAAAATAAAACGTTGGACATTTTCAAGACAATCACGGATAAAATCCCAGGTCTGGTGTATAGCTGGTACAAATTGAGAATAGTTTTGGTAATATCCAGGTTCGATCATTGTCGGTGCTATCATGATATTGCCAATTTCATCCTACTTAAACCCCTTATGCATATATTCAATTACAACACGTGTACCTAAACACTGAATAGAAATGTGCAGAAATCTTCAGTTTGGGAACATGAATCGAAGCACAAATAATTCCTACAATTGTTTGACATCGAAAGCTAGATCCCAAACTATCTATTGCTGAACATAAGGCTAAGTTACCGTTTTAATCTTGTAAGACTCTGGCAAAGCAAACTGCAAATATCCTTAATCTGTATATTTGTTTATACATCTGCTTCAATGAACACCGGTTGAGTGATGGTTTATGTCCACAGACCTGATGTTCCATCTAAATACTGCCACTCTACATAATTAAGTACGGACCAGACCAACCAGTGGCTGGAAACGAATGGTATGTCAACCTGGTATGATGCCACATGGTTTAGCCACTGATAACAGCCTCTTTAGCTAAGTCTGGTGACAAGCATGTGGTACCAGGGACCTACCGGTATTCTGACATTGACTTATCATGTAACACGTCACAAGAGTGTACCCTTATAAATGACACTGTATTACATCAGACAAGAGTTGGGTTGTAGAGAAGACCAAGATATTTGTAAAGCCAAGCATTGGTGCCCCATATTCCATCACTTTCACCACCATATCTACAGAATGTCATGTAATGAAATATCAATTCATTATTCAAATATGACAAAACTCTACATGGACAGTGTGTTGAGATTGTGGCAAAGTAACACGCTAATACAGACATGAATGTAATTATGATATAAGAAGACCACCTTGTGCAAACATTTATGTCTGTGATTAAAAATATGACTGTACTACAAATAGCTCTTCTTTCCCAAATTGGGTCTGTATCTGTTCATCTTGTTGACATGGTTGTCTGTCAGACTTCAGAACAGAGATAACTGTCCTCTATCGTATGGCGTCCATATGGCTGCCAAGGTGACCATGTTAAAAAATTGGATCACAATTCCGTGATCTCGTTCACCAGATGACCAATGAGGCAGTGTGTTTGGGGTTACAGGACACAGTCCAATGTTGACTATGTTGACTATGTTATCAGAGCAGGTCTAGGTGCATGTGCCAGGATGTCCACCCACAACACTGATGACTGATTTCACGTTGCTGGCTATGAGGCTGTTTGTCTCAGGTGAACCACTAGATTGATGGCAGATTGATTCTTCTAGGAAAAGTTCATCTGGAAAATACAGGTCAATATTAACAATCATAATTCGGTTTCTAGGACTGTCTGGTCCAGACTCGATTATTTACAGATCGTCGCCATATAGCTGGAATATTGCTGAGTGTGACGTAAAACTAACTCGCTCAGTTTTCAGGATAAATCAAATAATTATGAATGTTACTTATATTTATGTTGATAATTAAACTGGTTAATACAAGTAAGGTTTTCACCAAAGTGGTGTAAGTCTACAGCCTGCTTATTTTCAAAGGGAGACTGATCAATTCTTTTATATTACTGTTTAATCTTCATACACCCGTGAAGATCGGGGGTTTAAATTTGTCTTCAGCAACCCATGCTTGTCGTAAGAGACGCCTAACAAGATAGGGTGGTCAGACTCGCTGACTTGGTTGACACATGTCATTGTATCCCATTTGTGTAGGTCGATGCTCATGCTGTTGATCGCTGGATTGTCTGGTCCAGAACGCCGCCACATAGCTTGAATATTGCCGAGTGCAGCGTAAAACTAGACTAACACACTCAATATCGCCTGAGCTGACATGTCAGTAAACCTACAACCCCTGGATACATTTCTGTGTTTCTACATCTGATTGGCCTGTGTGACATTAGATGTCCAACTAAATGTTGAGATAAGGGAAACAGGAATGGGTAAACGAGGACCTACCATCTCCAGGTCTATTAGACATGAAGACATCCATTCAATCAAACCATTTTTGGGCCTTTCTTTTGCGTGTCAGTCAGTTTTTCAATGTTGAATTTCTCGCAAAGTTTATTGTAATCAATGAGATTGTTCACTGTTGATATCACCAAACCAACCCAGTATGGTTTATAACGTGCATACTAATTGGTCTGTTAGACTGAGTCTGGTAGTAATATAAATAAGCAAATGAAAATCAAGGGTATTTAATATGAGAAAAGTTGGAATATATCCAGGGTTTTTTTTTTTTTTGCTGTAACAAGTATGTAATTTTCTGACTAAAAATGTAATTTTTGGAGTAAAATTGATATTTTATACTTATCCTGACTCATGCTCTTTTTGCTTGTCTTCTTCTTCTTGCGAACATAGTGGAACACTTGTATCTCCCTAATTGAAGCTCCCTTCAATTTAAAATCACTAATTAGTATTCACCACGAGTTACCTCCTTTCCACAAGCGCGTGAACGAGGGCGCCACCTCTACCCATGTGCCTCACTCTCTCCTCATATACTGAGGGCGGTGGGGTAGCCTAGTGGTTAAAGCGTTGGCTCGTCACGTCGAAGGCCCGGGTTCGATTCCCCACATGGGCACAATGTGTTAAGCCCATTTCTGGTGTCCCCCGCCGTGATATTGCTGGAATATTGCTAAAAGCGGCGTAAAACCAAACTCAGTCAGTCAGTCATATACTGAGCCCAACATTTGAATTTACAGGGAAATCCAAAGTGTTATTTGGGGAGGATGGGAGGGCTGACCTCATGAGTCAGGATAAGTATAAAATATCAATTTTACTCCAAAAATTACATATTTTTCCTTATCCTGACTCATGCTCTTTTTGCTTGTAGCATCCTACGGAACGGAGGTGGGAATATCTAATACTTTGGATTTTTAATAATTAGTGATTTGAACTGTGATGATTGTAATAACCCTATGGGAACTTCATAAAGGCACTGAATTGATGAATTCCTGCTGCTAACTTATCAGCTGCCATATAAAAGGTTATTACCATGTACTTATTATGATAAAGTATATATAACATTAATACAATGCTTAAGACTAATAGACTTAAGCTTGTTAATATGCTAGTATAAACTCCTTAGAGTTTGTTAGCTAAAATACTTTAAGATATAACATAGTACTAAGCTTAAGATATGATTAAACTTAAGCTAATTATATAATAGCAAACTCTTTAGAGTTTGTTAGTTAATATACTTATATGATATAGATATAATGCTGAGCTTAAGATATGAATAAGCTTTAGCTACATATATAATAGCAAAACTCTGTAGAGTTTGTTAGCTAATATATTTTATAATATGAGCATAGTACTGTGCTTAAGCTATAATTAACTTAAGCTACATATATAATAGCCAAACTCTGTAGAGTTTGTTAGCTAATATATTTTTATAATATGAGTATAGTACTGTGCTTAAGCTATAATTAACTTAAGCTACATATATAATAGCCAAACTCTGTAGAGTTTGTTAGCTAATATATATTTATAATATTAGTATAGTACTGAGCTTAAGATATAATTAACTTAAGCTACATATATATAGCAAAACTCTGTAGGGTTTTGTTAGCTAATATATTTTTACAATATGAGTATAGTAGTGTGCTTAAGATATAATTAACTTAAGCTACATATATAATAGCCAAAAAACTCTGTAGAGTTTATTAGCTAATATGTTTATAGTGTAACCATAGTACTAAGCTTATAGTACTGAGCTTAAGTTATGATGAAACTTAAGCTATATATATATAATAACAAAACTCCGTCGAGTTTTGTTAGCTAATACCTTTATAATGTAACCATACTGCTTAAGATATGATGAAAACTTAAGCTAATTGTATAATAGCTTAAAAACAACCCTTTAGAGTTTGTTAGCTATGATATAAACCTAGTATTGAGCTTATGAAGGAAAACTTAAGCTACATATATAATAGCAAGAACTCCTCAGAGTTTGTTAGCTAATACATGTTATAATGTAACTATAAAGCTTAAAATATGATGAAACTTAAGCGAAATATATAATAGCAAAACCCTCTTTAGAGTTTTGATAGCTAATATACCTATATGATATAAACATAGTACTGCTTTAAGATATGAATAAGCTTAAGTTACATATATAATAGCTAAAACTCTGTAGAGTTTGTTAGCTAATACATGTTATAATATAACCATATTGCTTAGAAATATGATGATACTTAAGCCAAATAGCAAAAACTCTTTAGAGTTTGTTAGCTAATCTACTTATATGATATAAACATAGTACTAAGCTTAAGATATGAATAAGCTTGCTACCTATATAATAGCAAAACTCCTTAGAGTTTGTTAGCCAATATATTTTAATAATATGAGTATAGTACTATGCTTAAGGTATAATTAGCTTAAGTTACCTATATAATAGTAAAACTCCTCAGAGTTTGTTAGCTTAATTAACTTAAGCTATGTATAAATAGCCAAAACTCTGTAGAGTTTGTTAGCTGATGCATTTATCATGTAACCATAATATTACTCTTAAGATATGAATAACTTAAGGTAAATATATATAATAACAAACTCTGTAGAGTTGTTAACTTATATATTGTATGATGTAATAATCATAGTACTGTGATGATAAACGGAACTTAAGTAAATTATATATAGCATGAAGCTATTTAGTATTGTTATAAGATAAGTAAAAATCTGTTAGATTGACTTATCTTCTCCGAGGAACTGTCAGCTGTTGTGCGAGGACCATGGGATCGAATTGGTGTATACCTGAGACGCCCTCGTGGTGATATCTCTCAGATAATGGTTTGCAACCACCATATCGGATCTCCAGAAATAAACCCTCCAATATTTCAATCACATTTGTGTGGAACAATTGTAGAAGTTAGCGCTTATAATATCATGAGTATTAAGCTCATGGAGGGTCGGAATAGGTCCATCCGCATATGCACGTAGTATGACAGTTCTGATCCAAATGGAGATATAGTACATGAGACTTCTCTCTGCGTAAGTTGATGATAGAGGAAATAATCTGTTGCATTTTTTACTCCTGTTTGGTTTGGTGGAGATAAAATTACAGTGCTCTTGCTGGCCATCTTGATAGAATCATCGTATCATGGGGTCCAAGTATGTCATCCAGGCGTGTTCATAAACCTCACTTGTGAGGTGTTGGAGCACTATATTCATATCCCCAGGTTGGGCGGAAATTTCCGCTTATTCTCCAAACAGAAGTTTAGTAGGTTTACTAACCATCTAGTTGTGTTAGTCGCTTGATGAAATTCAGCTGTAGTCTGAAACGCTGTGGATTTAGATCCACTTGTATCTTCGTCTAGGTAATTCGCAAGTAAGTCCTTGACGATGTAGGTGCACAACCAGGTGTGTCTGTCCTCGTTGAACTTTATGTAAAATCGCCTGACTGCCGATCCCTCGCCTTAACTTGACAGGGGAGGTCTCTATCTTGAAGAAAGGCAGTCTAATCATGAATGTTCAGGTTAACTGGACTGTAATGAGGCTTGCTCGCTCACTGATATATAGTTGTCACTTGTGACGTAAGTCTTGAACTGTGAATAGAGATCGACCTCTGTGTAGGTCGTTGTCCCTCATGGGTCCAATCAGAACAAGGCATTTTGATTCTGTATAATACCCGCTGTGATGTCACCGTGTAGCGGAAAACCCACCTTGAACTTGAAAATTCTTTGTCGCCGTTGATATTAGCATAAACGCCGGTCTTCACCGTAGCTTCCCCGGTTATCCGAAAGTGACCACGTGTTTCGAGGGTTAATGGTAACCGCTGAACCTCCGGCGCCAAATATCTCGCCTGTAATTTTATGCTGGGTAGGTTATTTTCCTGGTTGTCGGAAAGTAATTTCAGTTTTGAATATAATTCGACTTCCTTATATATAAGGGTATAAACAACTTGCAAGTTGTGAGCTTGTAGACTGTATACATGAATGTATCGTCATAATTGTAGAATTAACGCTGAACTTGTTGTACATATTTCTTCTCAGAAACTTTGACGCATTAAGAGTTATACTCGCTGTAACAAGGCTGCTGTTCAATTTCGATATTGAATTGTTCGCAGATATGCGTAATGGTCACGCATGTAGATAATCGTATCGTCGTCCGGGATTGTATATTAGCAATTTATACGGAATAGTTGATTTCTGTGAAGATCTATGAAATGTCGCTGACTAATAATACAGCGACGTTCTGTGTTGTAAATAGCCTGAGCAATTATCTTCGCAGAGGCTTATAGACGGCATCTGGCATACAGTTGATAATCAACTTATGCGACGCCTTGAACGGACTG